TGTCTTAGCCCCCTTGGGATTACAGGCACGGTCCACCACATCCAGTTTCAAAATCAAAACCTTTTAAAAGGCCTAGGGATGAAGCTAAGTGCAAAAGCCATGGGTTCAATCTTCAGTTAAAAAAAAAAAGAAAGAAGCTAAATTAATACAAGATTAATTTCTTCAAGGTTTTTCTTCTCGCCTTTTTTTCTGTTGTATTTGAAATCTGATAGAAAGTTACTAGAAGATGTCTTGATGTAATGTTATGTTTTAGAAATAAAGACACTCATAAAAGTCACACCTGTGGAACTGGATACAATTTGCTTTAACTCTGTATACTTTTGTATGAACCATAGTCTGCTGAGTTTAGAATGGAGCATTGTTTTAGTCTCACTTTCTGATTAAACAAAGATAATGTTTTCATGCACATTCCCCAGTAATATATTTAAATGTTAAACCCGTATTTGTAGGTTAATAAAAAATTTACAGAATACAAACAAGTACATTTCCTTTTTGGATACACACTGTCATGAAGTTGAGGTTGAGTTTGTGCATCTTGGACCACCAGATCAGCATCATGAACAGGTATGTAAGACTGGGTCCAGCAGGCTCATCCCTTAGTCTTCTACTGTAAATTTGTACTTTAGCTTAAGAGTAGCTTGCTGTGTGTCTCAGTACATGTCCATGGGGGATACAGGAAGCAATCTATCTGTTTACCTACCTAGTATGATCAATGGCAAGGTGTGTTCATATGTGCAAAAGTGGCAAAAGAGGATTTTCACTCCTCTTATATTCACCCTCTAACTTTGATTTGCATATGCCTACCCAAGCATCACAGAGGGTCCAATAGACCCACACCCTTCCAGGATTTGTTCTTCTAAAAAGTTTTCTTTTGATTTTTGTGGTAGAAGTAGCCCAGTTCAGTACAATGGCACATGGAAAACCAGATTTGCAAGTTTTGGAGGAGGTCAAAAGTGAATCATCAGATTACTCATGCATGAATGATGAAGATGTTCCACTGCATGCTTTCACAACAGAAGATTTGTGTAGGTGGGTGATGGTGGTGACTTTGACATTAGCCATGGGAGTCAAAGTTTCTGTGAACTGGAACAAGAAATGGGGCAAGAACTGACTGATACAGACAGGGAAATGAAAGGACACAGTGAAATGGAACAAGAATCCACTGATACAGGGGCTGGGGATTTAGCTCAGCGGCAAAAGCGCCTGCCTGGCAAGCGCAAGGT